CAACCTTCGGCCTCCAGATGTTCTTGGACTTGAACTCCCAGAAATCCTTGCCAGCAGAGGTGGTGAAGGCTTCTGGGAGTTGTAGTCCAAGAACATCTGGAGGCCGAAGGTTGGGGACCACTGTCTTATAGAACACATTGTTCACATGTCTACCTTGTGAGAATTGCTTGTTTATTTCTGTTACTTACTTCCTGTTTAGTTACAAATCTGTAGCGGCGCGTGTGAAACTTTTTGTGCTCCGTACATTGTCAAACTGTATAGCTCCCGCTAACCCTAATGATTCACCATGCTGTCTTGGGTGATGAGAATTATAGTCTATTCACTTCATTATTAGTCTCAGAAGGTAGCTGAGGCAGAATCAAATGCCATCCTAGAAATGCTGAAAGTTTACTTTATTGCAATAGGAAGAATACCACACAGATGAAGCAGAGGAGATCCTAAGTAGTAGTAGTCAGTAGTCTTAACATATCAGGCATAAGTTGTAGGACTTATCAGTCATGCATTCTCATCTAGCTTGTTGCTCAGACAAAGGGAGAAGATGATCTTGACATTTTTGTAAATAGGCAAGGTCAACAATATCCAAGGAACAGAAAGTAGTGGTGAAATAACTGAAATAGAAATAGAAGGTAACTAAGAGAACAGGTTTTAATCAGGTCCTCCAAGCAATGGCAAGAGAAAATGTCAGCCAGTTAATAGGTAGCCTGTTAGGAACTCAGAAAAGATGTCAGTGCCTTGAAAATCAGTATTGGTGATTTTGATGCTTTCTAGTTTAAAAGTTCCATGGCATTTCTAGACTACTTGGTCTTTTTTTATAATCCTGATAAACACTTTTGATTGCCTTACTTTCAGATCAGAGCAGAATTCTATGAATACGTTACTAACATTGAACTGTGTATCCTCATCCATTCTCAGAGATCTGAAGATTTTTGTCTTCCCTAAATTTAACCATTCAAAAGAAAACAAATCACAATTAAATATGGAGGGATTAGAAATAAAGATGGGATGAGTGTGTTTTATATCTTTTCCTGACACCTTAAATGGAAAAATTGGAATTTAGAATTATAGCTCAAAAGACCTCCCACTTTTTTTATTGTTTATTCTCAAGTTGATGTATATGAGGTTCCTAGGTTATTTCTCATCCAAACACTGATCAAATCCATACCATAGTTTGGTGACATATGAAATTACTTCAGATAAAGTCTTCAGAGAGTCATAAAAGGGAAATCCACTTCTCCATACCCGCTGGCTTTATACCATGCATGACTTAATAAATCTCTTACAGGGTCATAGAACTGTAGAGCTGGAAGGTATCCCAAGGACCAATGAGCTATGCTATCTGCAGATGTAGGAATCCAGTAAGGCAATCCTTGACAGGTGGCCATCCAACCTTCACTAAAAAACTTCCAGTGAAGGAGAATCCATCACCACCTGAAGCAGTCTGCTCCATTGTTAAACAACTCTTACCACCAGCAGTGGGACTGTCAGCAGCAATTTTTGTCTATGTAAGCTCCCCTACTGTGACTCCCAAAGCTTCCCCAGGTCAGAAAGGAACCCTGCAGAACCTCTGAATGTGAATCGGGGGGAGGCGTGGGGCAGATAGGAAGCTTTCCAATCATTTAAATAAAATATTACCAGCGCTGGATCCTATTTGCCTGGTGTAACTTTACACTAACAGGATTTTGCCTGTTATTTCGAATCCTATTATCTGCAGCTAGAGAATACAAGTTTGCCCCATCTTCCACATGACAGCACTTCAGATATTTGAAGACAGCTATCATGTCGCCTCTCCGTCTTCTTTTTTCCAGGTTAAGCATGCCCAGTTCTCTCAACCATTAGGCATAGGGATTGGTTTCCATAACTTTTAGCATACTGGTCACTTTCTATTGCCCTCTCTTCTTTCCTAAACTAAAAACATTTAAAAATCCTTCATAAGGAAGGCATTCTGGCCCCTTATTTTGGTTGCCTATTGTTAAGGAAATATACTTAGTAATAATAAGGCACCCTTGTCGAGTCTGAATGAAAACAAGAGGAAATGTTGCACAATAGCCCTACATGCAGTTCCTTCCATACACAGTGAACTGCTTTTTTAGCCTAGGTGGCAAGAAGTCAGCATGAAATTTATGCTGCCATCGTCTTCATTTCAAAAGTGATGGCAGTTGCAGGAGCACATTGACCAATACTCCCTGGCAACCTTTCAAAGGCCACATTTTGCCTGCAAAAGCGCAGTTGTTGGCATCATATGCTAGCTGGGAATTAGATAATTTAATAACCAGGATGTGAAAGGCCGGGTGTAGACATCCTCCTCAGAACTGTGGTAAATTCATTCAAGTCCTTCTCTTGAATGACTGCTGTTCAGTTGTATGCAGTGGAATGGAAGGAGATCTCTCAAATCTGCATCTCTGAAAAATGCTTTCTCATATTCCACTGTATCTGATCCATGCAATGGTTGAAAACAGGCAAACACTTGTTTCCAGAAATCACACAGCTTTCTTCATGCTTGCACGATGTCTTTCTTCTGAGGGAAAAAAAACACTCCTAGTAAAATTCACTTTCTCTACTCTCCTTCTTACTTTCTCCACAGGGTTCTGGCTAGTGTGGACGATCATCATTATACTGAGTTGCTGTTGTGTCTGCCATCACCGGCGCGCCAAACATAGACTTCAGGCACAGCAACGGCAGCATGAGATTAACCTGATTGCCTACCGTGAAGCTCATAACTACTCCACCCTGCCATTTTATTTCCGTATGTACTGCATGCAAGAAGCAAGATACCTTTCAAAGAGCAAGATGATAATATTGTTTATTTGGGCAGGGGACACAGATACAAGAAGGATTCATAGTAGATGTGATGGGGGATGAGTACAGAGAGGTCAGTTTATGGCTGATGAAGACAAGATGGCAATCTATCATCCTTGGACACTCACTCTGCTCATCCTGTCAGCTTCTTTATGTTAGCTGAAGCATCATCACAGCTCTTACTAGGTTCTAAATTCTTGCATAAATATCTGAGAGACCTGAAATAATGATATTTCACAACAATACTTGGCTTTGACTTATTTTCTTAATTTTGGAAGCTGGTCAGGCTGCTGTAAAAGTGGGAAGTGGATTAGCATGTTCAGCTGAGGCAATGTAAGCTGAGATGTTTTTACCTTCCCCCCCTCTTTTCGTCTGCAGCTGACACAGCACCAGTGTTGTTGAAAGCTTTATGAACAAAGAGGCACAGAGCTCAGCTGTAGGGAGTTGTGGCAAAGGAATTCAACATCTGAGATCTCGTTTCAAGCAAGAGTATTTGTAACGGTGACTGGGGTCACCTTATTTTGCCTATGTTGTTGTTAATTGTTTTCTGTTATTAAAAAGAGGAACTAATAACAGAGATGACCCATACAACATACCAAGACCCACCCATACATATAAAAGGGAAATTGTTATATTGTTTTATTATACAGTATTCCCTTTTGTTCAATAAGATGTCTGCAGACTTAGAGTAGGTGGCATGGCATCTTATGCCTGTTCTAAGAGAGACAATTTAAATTGGCCCTCAGTTGAGTCAGATTACATTAGCTTGCTTTTGGATGATGTTGCCTTATCTTATACACTGCTTTGCCTCAGTTTCTTCCAGCTGTGAAATACAAGTAATTGCTGCTGCTTATATGAAATCACAATGGGGGAAATTTAATAATTACAATCATGTGAATTACCCAGAAAGTCGATAGTAAGCTATTTTAAATAGTACATTCTGCCAGGATTTTGATTTGCAGAAACTGTGGAAATAACCTGTCCTCCCTGCCTCCCCATTTAGGATTTTTGCCACATTATTTACTGCCTCCTTATGAGGAAGTGGTGAATCGACCTCCGACCCCTCCCCCACCATATAGTGCCTTACATCAGCAATGCATCACCCCTGGCAGTGGCAATGCTGCACCGGACACAAGAAACCTACAGCCAGCCCAGCCAGGCTCTCTGTCAGGAACAGGAAGCAATAATGGAACTATGGACAGCACTGCCTCCCCCAACATTGGGGATCCTGAATCCTCCACCCCACTAGTTGAGAGATCAACTACCAAAGCAACAAGTGGTGAGCCAAGAAACTCCAACAGTGGGACAGAATTAGAAGAGATGCCTGCACATGTATCCTGTCTTGAGAAGGAGTCAGAATGCAAGGAGGAACTGCTTAAGGATTACAGCTCAGAAAGTTTTGACCACAGCAACGCCTTCTCTGATGCTAAAGACAAGACACCAGGCAGACATCGAAGGTTCACTGGTGACTCAGGCATTGAAATTTGTATCTGTAACCAGGGCCACCATGACAATGATCTCAAAGAATTGGATGGGTTCATTGATGATGGTTCCATGGACTACTGTGATAGCTGCAGTGGCGGCCCCCCACATGGGGATGAGGAAGAAGGGCTTTTCAGTGCCTCTGATGAGCAGCAACGAGAGCATAACCACCATCACCTCCCTCGACAGCCTGTGTGTGTGCTTCTGAACACCATAAATGAACAAGACTCCCCAAACTCTCATACCAATACATCCCCCAGCTAAAACAACAAAGTCAGAAGGGAAGATGTGCAAAAGGATAAACATGACTTCAACCAAAAACAAGTTGTTTCACATTTTCTTCAGATGTAACTATGGGAATAATGCCAAATCTGCAGAGGAAGAGGCAGAAGCTTCTAGGCTTTTTTCCTGAACTGCCTGCTCTCTCCTCCATTTGTGCAGGGGCTTAAGATTTAACATGAAGTTACACACACACATACAAACAAGTACATACATATACACATATACACACACATGATATACAGTATACATGATATACACATAAACAAACATAACAAACATATATACATATATGTACACGCACACACAAACACATACACACAGAATATATGTATATGAATGAGAACTTTTCCTATTGCTGATTTTGGTGATGGTTTATTTGGTTGGTTGTCTTTTTAAAAGTTTTCAAGACCTGCTTAATTTTATTATTAGAAAGACTTAGTCTGACCCTATGAGAATAAGGAGTACTAGTGTATCTCCTTATCACGTCTTTCCAGATGTCTTCCCAGAAGCTGGTGGCATTAGATAGCCCTGGTGATGTGTTTAGTTAATTCTGTTGTAAGATTAAAAAATGAATCCCCAGAAGTATGGTTGTAGTTTTAAAAAAGAAAGAAAGAAACAGTGCTGTAATCTCTGGTGCATTGTGGATTATAGCAAACTGTGGAGAAAGTTTTCCTCTTGAAGCTGGTAACTGAAGGACCAGTTTCTTCCCCCATCCCCAACCCCCAAACAGCTAGCCTGAAACATGAAAGTTTATGCAAATAGGGGTTGCAGATGTTGCCTTTAAAAAAAAAAAGATAAATATTTTCATTCAGTTGATGCCTCTAAAGAGCACAGCTATGGGTGGAGACTCTAGGCAGAGGAACTGTCTTTTCCAGTACTGTCGTTTCCTTATAACAGTCAGCTGGTGTGCTGCAATGCAAAAGGACAGAGGCTTTGCAACTTTAGGCCAGCACGCTAGTTAAAATGACAAAACCAAAACAAACACACATAAAGAACAGGGCTTTTTGGCCAGCGTGCCTTCAGGTTTCAGCGATGCTTGTTGAACAAATGGAGACAAGAACTCCGTCCGTTGCAGAAGGATGACTTGCAGCATCAGTGTGGAAGACCTGTGCAGTATTTTCTTTTTTAGTTCAAAAGTTAGTGTTTTTCTAACAAGTGACCACTTAAAAGAATGGAGTGTTTGTGTTTCTCTTGATAGCAGCAACAGGCTACTGTATAATGTCTGTGAGTGTGTATGTGTGTCTGACTGCAGTACATGCATGTGTGTTTCCTACTGGTGACATGAAACTTGCTGCTGTAAGACTGCAAAAAAACAAACAAAACGATTGCTTTGCTTTAATAAAACAGTGGAGCTTTTGTTAGTACCAACCCCAAAGGGGAAGGGGAATAAAAAAATCCAAGCAGCTGAAACTAACATTCCCTGGAGCATTCCTGTGGAAGAGAGCAAGCCGTTTCTACATTAAGTGTGATGGAATTTCATTTTTGTTTTCCCTTTCCCCTGTTTCTTCGGTTACAATTGTGTAGGTCATTTATTGTCATAAAACGGACTTTCAGATTTGATTGCTTGAAACCAAAACCGGTTTGAAATATGATGTAAGCCCAAATATAATGCCTTTTTTCTGATAATTCATGTTCTCGTGTCTCATTTTCCTTGCTGAAGGATAGAATATTTGCACACCGTGGTGAAATATTTATTTATTGTGCTTGCAAGGTGCATTTCATACTTGGAGTGACTTTAATCCATACATTGCAGCTACTGGTTAACACAGGTTAGTGAAAATACTATTTTTAATAATAAATGCTAGCCCAGGCAGATGTATTTGTATTTCTATACCTATGTGTAAAAATACAGAGAGGAAAGCAGTTTAATTCCTCTTTATTGAACTCTTCTTCATATGTGGCCTACAGCTATATATTGTGCTTCCATTAGCACATCTGAGAGTATAATTAAAAGTCAGCAAATTGTCAGTTATGGTATGACGGAAGGTCTTTTTAGAATGCCTGGCTGTTCTGCCTTTCTCCATGAAGTTCAGAATAGCACACATTGTCATAGTTATTCTTATAACAGCCCTGTGAAGTCAGTTGATTTGAGGAAATGTGATGGCCCCAGTTTGTTCAGTAGCTGTCGTGACTGAACAGGGATTTGAACCCAGTTTGGTCTCACAGACTTTCTTCACTACACAACAATAGTTAAGTTAGTATAGATTGTGATCACGAAAGATAGTCAAAATTCAATTTTATACTCCATTATAACCTTAACCCTTCCAGAATCAAGGAAACTGTTATTATTGCCATACACTGTCAAATGGCAATTGACTTACAGTATAGTGACCCTAACAGGGTTTCCAAGGTATGCAGCTTATTTAAGGAGTGTCAAGGTCCCCAGAGCTCTATAGAACGTTATAACACCCCTTGGTAATTTGAGTCTTTGGTGGTCCATTATAGCTGATCTTTTATCCCTGAAAGGTTTAATTCCAGTGTGAAATTGGATAATCTTGCAATCATAACGATGTTCATCTGGGTATCAAGGTATAAGTATTTTTAAACCATTGTTTCACTCATGATATAAATCTTCTCTGGACATTCTTTTTACATATATACAGTTTACTCTTCCCAGGTAGAAAAATTAGGTCATACCACCTGTCTATTTCTACAAGTTTCATTAATTTACATTGCTTCTATGTTTAGAAATCCAAGAGTTATTGAAAACATGTAACTTTTGAGAAGTCACAGGCATGTTAATTAATCTTATAAAAATAATGCTTACGAATATAAGCAGCTGTGGGCAGAAATGTTTACATGAAAACAGAATTTAAGTTGCAGGCAATACTTAAGTCAGAATTCAATCAAATATGTTTGAACATAAAAGGTACAATAAAAATACCAAAAAGAATGTGTTAATTACATCCTAAAAATGCAGGAGATCGTAGCCTAAAAGGGCACAATAAAAAAGCAGAGTGTACATTTCTTAAAATATCCATGTTCTTAAAAGTAAAAATATGTATTTCTTAGTCTGAAAGCATTTTCAAGCACAAAATTATTTACTTAGCCACCTTTCAGTTTGAATGTATGAAGGAAAATATGCGTTGGGAAATCAGACAGTATCTGCATTTAGGCCAACAGAACTCTGGAAGCAATTCTGATTCATAAAGAAGACTGAAGGACCATCTAGTAGTCCACCCTCCATTTTTGCACAGTTGCGAGCCACGTATACTCAGTACAGCCTTCAAGCTGGTCTGGAAGGCAATTGTTTCCATTCATGGTTGTTTCCTAGCAATTGGATTTTGGTGGTATACTGATGTAGCAGTTCCACATAACCACCATGACTGATAATCATTTGTACTATCTTCATGAATTTGTCTAGTTCTGTTAAAGCCCACCACCCTGCCAATCAGTTTCATTAGTTGGCTATTTCTAGTACTATAGCAAAGAGAGTAACTGTAACTATTATCATTCTCTCTCTCTCTCTCCTCTTTTTCTACTCTCTGCATATTTCCTCTAAACCTCTAATTATACTGCCTACATTTATTTGTTGTTAAACTAATGTTCCCATTTTTAAGTGTTTCCATTTCTAAGAGATCCTTTTAGCAGTGGATTTCATTGTAAGATTTACCCAAGGCCATAATATGGGTTGATTTCATTTTTGGTCATTCTTAAGAATCTATAGCATGAAGTTTGCTGTTTTCACAGTGATTACACAGTGAGTTGATGGTCCCATTTAACTGTCCACTGTGAAACCAGGAGCCTTCTTGTTTAGCCAGTACCGGCTCAGAGTCCACTGGACAGAAATGTGATTAGGATACTGTATTTTTGCCCAGTGCAACAATTTACATTGAATCTTTGTTGCATTCTGTACTTACCTGGCAGGGGAGATACCATGATCACGAATCTTTGTTGCATTCCTTGCTGCTTTGTTCCCATCTGTGTGCTTCACAGAAGTTCATTAGGAGCTCTTCAGTATCTGAGTTAAACTGGAGCTAGTGACAAATGCTGATTTGGAATAGATCTGTGACAGCTCAAAATGTTTTGGAAGCCCTGACATGACAGTGCAAATAGTTGTGACTACATGAAAGCCCACAGAAAATTACGATGTCCAACAAGTTCGTCTCAAAGTTGCTAATTTCTTAGCTCAGATGGACATATATTTGATACTGTATATGGAACTAAGTAAGCAGCAGCAACTTCCTCAAAGCCAGACTATCATCAGTACATTTGGAATATGAGAGTATTTCTTTCTGGATGTGTTTGTGATAGAAGAACAGCTGTGTTCTGAGGGTACATGCTTTTTAAGTTCATCTGGCCCCATGCCCAGCTTGAAGGGCCCACAGGTATTTCAGTATTATTCTCCTATGACTGCTACAAGAAAATAACAACCTTCCTCTGCTGTTGGTTAGTATATCCCTTGGTCTGCTGTATAACTTGGTATAATTACCCAGGGAGCCTGAAACATACCAGCACTCAGCATAGACAACAACCGATGAAGGCTATTCCTCTTGAAGAAACAGTAATAAACAGATTTCATTGAAATCAGCAAGCATTGGCCTTTGTCTTGTGTGGATTTTCTCAGCAATGGTAAATTCAAATATAGCTGGGGGGGGGGTTCAGGATCCAAAACAGAAAGTAGTTGCTTGTTACGCAGATGTAGCATATCTTTTAATGCTTTTGCCTAGCCATGGCTTTAAATAGTCACATTGAGTTCATTGAGTGCACAGCCAGACTGCTGTTCCCTTTCCCTCTTCCCATTATATGCTATGTTGTTGTTTAGTAGTTTAGTCGTGTCCGACTCTTCGTGACCCCATGGATCAGAGCACACCAAGCCCTCCTGTCTTCCACTGTCTCCTGGATTTGAGTCAAATTCATGTTGGTAGCTTCAGTGACCATCTCAGCCTCTGTCATCCCCTTCTACGCTTTCCTTCACACTTTTCTAACATCAGGGTCTTTTCCAGGGAGTCTTCTCTTCTCATGAGATGGCCAAAATATTGGATCCTCAGCTTCAGGATCTGTCCTTCCAGTGAGCACTCAGGTTGATTTCCTTTAGAATGGATCAGTTTGTTCTCTTTGCAGTCAAGAGCCTTCTCCAGCACCACAATTCAAAAGCATCAATTCTTTGGTGGTCAGCTTTCTTTATGGTCCAGCTCTCAATTCCATACATCGCTACTGGAAAAACCATAGCTTTGACTATTCGGACTTTTGTTGGCAAGGTGATGTCTCTGCTTTTTAAGGTTTGTCATCACTTTCCTCCAAAGAAGAGGGGGTC